GATTCCTCCTTTCACCACGTCGCCTTCTAACCCTGGCACGACCATCGGGCATGCCTAAACAAAATCGAGACTGGTCACTAAAGACAATACTGTTCCATTCCTGATCCCAGAGTGACCGTTGTCTGCACCACTCAAGGCGATTACGTCGGTGTTCTCGAGTTAAAGGGAGGACCCAGTGTGGCCGGTATGAAAACAAGCCAAAACTTCTCATTCGTCGGTAAACACTTCGCATGCCAATAGGTCTTCCGTGTTCTGCAAACCATTCATTTGCAATGGACCTGGTAGTGGAGAAACGGTCCCTTAAGGCCAATAATCTTAGGCGGCGATCTTCACGGTGTATTGTTCTACGGCGGCGTCCAGTGCCCCTTGCTCTTTGCGTACGGCCTTCTCGAAGCCATGCCTGACAACACCTAACCACAGTGTCTACACTTCTTTGCACTCTAACTGCAATTGCCCGAAAAGAAAGTCCAGCTTCCCGAAGTCCCACTATACGGCCCCTATCAAACTCACTAAGTTGACAAAATCGTACAGGTCTCCGTACTCTAGGCATCGTAACCGATCGTAAAGGATGTCAAGAACCAAAATCCGCCAACGTTGATTCTTTACTGCGGCTGAAATATTCATTTTTAGAGCGTTAGTGAATTAAAAAAAAGCAGTATAAAAACCGGAATGTCCAACTTATAAGGCTGAAAATTTTTTCACTTGTTATTTACAGTAAGATAAATACATTCACCAACTTTTATTGAAATAAAACCATTTAAACTGGGTGTTCGGATTTATATGTCACTTAGTAGTTCGTTTTTTTTGGAATTCTCGATTCGCGCAGGAGGGAGGCTTACATTTTAGCATAGGTATTGACACGTATTGAGCCCCCAAGGGCCTTGAATATGTCAGCGATTACCACATGTTTTTAATTGTTTCGAGCAGATGGCGTGGTCCCTTATCTACTAGGTCATGCTAGAGAAGTGTCAGTTTACTACGAACTTTTGTTTGTGTCAGTGATGGGCGTTTATGTGTATAATTTATTATACAATATATACAATGTATACAATGTATACAATGTATACAATGTATACAATGTATACAATGTATACAATGTATACAATGTATACAATGTATACAATGTATACAATGTATACAATATATACAGGGAGGCCCATCCATGTGTGGACTGAATATTCCTCATAAACAAATACATTTTGGAAAAACCTTTTTAGGGCATGTTATACACGACATTTGAGGGCACACTTCTGAAATATTGGCAATTATACAGGGTGTCGTTTTTGAAAGCAAATATGTTCGGTTTTTTTTGGAATTCTCGATTCGCGCAGGAGGGAGGCTTACATTTCAGCATAGGTATTGACACGTATTGAGCCCTCAAGGCCCTTGAATATGTCAGCGATTACCACATGTTTTTAATTGTTTCGGGCAGATGGCGTGGTCCCTTATCTACTAGGTCATGCTAGAGAAGTGTCGATTTACTTCGAACTTTTGTATCTGTCAGTGATGGGCGTTTATGTGTATAATTTATTATACAATATATACAATGTATACAATGTATACAATGTATACGAAGTATACCATGTATACAATGTATACAATGTATACAATGTATACAATGTACACAATATATACAGGGTGGCCCATCCATGCGTGGACGGAATATTCCTCATAAACAAATACATTTTGGAAAAATCTATTTATGGCATGTTATACACGACATTTGAGGGCACATTTATAGAATATTGGAAATTATACAGGGTGTCCCAATTTTGACCTACATATTAAAGTTGTGTTTTTTTAAATGGAATGCCTCAAATTTTATTGCATATTTGGATAAACCAATTCAAAAGAGGAAAATTGGTATAACATACTATGAGGTTTTTGCAATTAGCTACTGAGATGTAAGGTGTTTTGTCCACTTCGGCAACTCCTCAATCCGCCATTTTGAAATTTGGAGTGCTAAATTTTGTTTTGTACTTCGAATTTTCATTTTTGCTCATACAGGGTGGTCAAAAGCGCGAATTGTACTTTTTCTCAAAAATTTCAAATGCATCACCCTGCATATTTCTGCAAGCTTGGATGCAACTTCTTATAAGCTTTTTTTGGTTTTGGATTTGATTCAGATAAAATCACTAGATTTTGAGTTATTGAGCTTTTAATAGAACCACACACCAAAATTAAGGAAAAAAAATCATCATCCATAGAAACAAAAGACAAACAGTGGGCTAGTTCCATATTGCTACTAAGGCCCGTATCGTCAGTCGTCCCTACAATTGTAGGGCGCCTTTATGGCCTCCTTGATTGTCATAGTTGTCTACTTCTCCGTGTCAGCGCTCTATTTTGAGGTTATGTCACAAACATCTATTTGCATCAAATTGTGCTTGCTTTTGAGTTATATCATGTTTTATCAGCCTGAAATTTCCTACAATTTAAATAGAAAACATATCTTCACAATAGGAGAGCGCTGACGCTGACACGGGACAAGTGTAATCTAGAAATTTTTGAAGGAGTGAAAGGAGTGTCACGTCTTTGGATAAATGACCGCTGCACATCCCTCAGCATGTGTTCCCTTATGTTTAGAAAAGCATCCTTGATCCTTTCCTTCATATTTTCCGGAGAGATGGTGGATATCTATAAGCCTCTTGCTTAACGTAGCCCCATAGAAAGAAGTCCATCGGTGTCATATCTGGTGATCTAAGAGGCCAAGATATAGGTCCATCACGACCGATCCAACGATTGTTACTCCAGGTGTCCAAATAGTTACGCCCATGATAATGATAATGCGCAGGTGCGCCGTCATTTTGGAAGTACGTATGCATCCGAGTTTGCAGGTTGACATCCTACAAAAGCAAAGGCAAATGCTCGATCAAAAAATTCAAGTCAACTCCTCCCCAAACATTCAAGCTCTATTTAATTTGGAAATCTATTTGCCTAACCCAGTAAGGGTTTTCCGTCGCATACTGGTGCATGTTATGCCTGTTGTTAAAAAAGTTGCCTCATCGCTAAAAAGAACCTTATCCAGGAAAGTAGTGTCTTCACTCACTTTATTTATTCTACTAAACTCCATTCGAGCTGCGAAGGAGGACGAAGGTCATGATATTGATGCAAGCATGCTTGTGAATAATCCTTTGGATAGAAGTTCTGCATATATCAATGTCTGCTCCAATTTGCCGTGCACTTAAATGGGGATTTTCCTGCAACTTTAATAGAACCTCCAACTGATTCGCCTCTTTGGTAACAGTTGGATTACTTATACATTTATATTCCACTGCTCCACTTGATTCAACACGTTCTCGTAGTGTGGAAAATGTTTCCGTCCTTGGATGTCGCATCTTAGGGTACCGTTGCTTATAAATGCGAGATGCTAGGAAACTATTTCTTTGGGCAAAACGAACACCACATTCACTACTTCTTCTTTTAAATTCATTTTCAAACACGTTTTTATTATAATGCTCACAAAGATAATTTTGACAGTTTGTAACTAATCAACAATTTATTTGTTTCCAAGCGATATTTTAGGGAATTAAGCCGTTCCATAAAAGACCTGCTAATAACCGAAGAAATAGCAGTAAAAACCCATATGTCTGTGGTATCAAAAAACGCTTATCAAAAATTGAATCCAAACTTGCACAAATATAGAAGGTGGTGTATTTGAAATTTTTGAGAAAAACTACAATTTGCGTTTTTGAGCACCCTATATGAGCAAAAATTAAAATTCGAGAAAGTAACAAATAAGATAAAAGCTGAGGTGTGTAGGTTTTTTTATACAAAATCAGTACTCCAAATTTCAAAATGACGGACTGAGGGGGGAAGTGGGGGGTTTTTCTAGACAAAACACTTTATATCTTAGTAGCTAATTGCCAAAAAAGTATGTTATATTAATTTTATTCTTTTGAATTGGTTTATCCAAATATGCAATAAAATTTAAGGCAAAATGTATTTGCTTATGAGTACAGAATAGCATGAGTGAGGTGAGGTTTACTCGCAAACGTCAAAACGTTACTGAACCGTGAACCAGCAACTACAAATTGTTGAGGGCGCTGAAAACAACGAGATTGCTGAAATAGGGCTTATTTAATTCAAAGACGAAGTATCGTATCGTAAAAGGATTTTTCTTGCCTGATACAAGCACAACTCAAATCAGAATTTATACCGAAAAATGCTTTTGACCTTGTAGGAATATTCGCAGTCAAAAAATAGTCCATGCCTCGGCCGTAATCGCAGACGAAGCCACATCCCTCGCCCAACAGGTCCCACAGCATCTTCAATAAGTACAGAAGCTCTAACAGGAGACAACAATGGTATTCGGATGGAACACAGTGATGCACAAGTTTAGTGGTAAAAGGTAAAATAAGAAATGTACCTAATTTATTTGAAGCTATAACTTCGTATATATAAAGAATAATAAATATCTATATTTATACGGCTTGAAATCATTCAAAAACCACTTTTACAGCCCTTGCACATATTCAAGCGATCTTGTTGAACTATGATGCTATTCTATACATTGTCTACTTTGTTTACATTGTATACATAAATATCAAGACGAATACGTAAATCACTGGTATCTGTCGTATTTATGGCGCTGTCCACAAAAAATCGATCAATATGGGTAATTAATTGGTTTTTAATATTCGATTATTTTAATTAAAAAAATCGTTTCTTACAGATACGAGCTGCTCTTTGATCTGAATAAAAGCAAAAGCATAATGGTGTTACTTTTTAGCAATAATCGGTGTCGTATGAAGACAGACAAGAAAAACACAAACAAGTAGGTTCACGAGTCGTCTTTTTAATTACGGTGGTCAACATATATCCGTTTATAGAACGGCAACTGTCATTTAATGTAGGCCAGAGGTGTCAAGCTTTGGGAAACTGTTTGTAGGTGACAGTTGTCAGCGTTGTCGCCTGTTTACACACAGAAAAGAGACACATTGATTTATTCACTTACTGTGAATTCTAATAGACAACACTTATGGTCTACAAACCAAACCTACCTTTGGTAATGTGAATATACTTTTTGGTTCCGATCACAGCTAGATATATGATGATGGGTATCCAGATCATTGGTACCACGTACCATGGAGTTATGGTAAGGTATTCCAGAAGATCGCTGTCAAATAACCTCAGTCGCCTGTCTACTGGTGATATCACCCATTCACTATATTTTGTTCCTAGTTTCCCAACTTGACTCAGCATGGGTTTGTTCCAGTCTACCAAACGCTGCAACATGTATAGGATTAATAAGAAGTAGTAATGCGCATAGCATTTTCAGGTGAAAGAATATCGGAAAACATGCTTATTGATACGTTTGGCTCAATAATAGAGAGCTTTTTGTCGTGGTTGTCGGATCAAGCTGATTTAGTTGGGGGATATATAACTACAGAACTTCAGGTAGAGATCTAGGCGATTTTATCATATGTATTGTATCTCGGATAGACAACGTCTAGGAGGCACCAGCAGGTGATAGTCAATGCCGTTAAGGAATAAATGTTCATAGAGAGAGTTTATTATTGATCAGGGAGACCTGATAGCTCGGTGGTATAACCCGGGGCTGGAGGGTTCGAATTTCCGCCTGGGATGTATAATTCCGAGGTATGGATGTTGCATTATACAGGGTGTCCGCAAAGTTGGGGTTTTCCTTTTCAGAAACAACTACCCTTGAAATAACAAAGGTAATGTGTAGTGAAACGAGGGCGACCAAGTAAAAAAAATAAAGGAAAAAGTACTCACTCTCCAGTTGACGAGAAGGGCTAAGTACGTCTCTGCCCGAAATCATACCGCTCCAACAGAAAATGAAATCAGCTGAAGCGCTACCGAGCAGACGCAGAAACCACATTGATTGTCTTACACTTAATGGCATATCTTCTAACAAGGAAAGCAAAATGTTGCGTAAATAGTGTAGGTATTGCATCCCGTCCAATCGATTTGGGAGAATAAATGGTCCAATGAGCATACCGTTCACCATGCCAGCCCAAACATTCACCGAAAATGTTTGTTGAAAATGTGCCCAACGGACAGCGTGCGGATTTTCTACTGACCAAACATGAGTGTTGCGAAAGTTATTCACCCCATTACGCGTGAACGTATATTCGTCTGTCACCAATATGCACTTCAAAAAGTCCGGATTATTGTCATGTTGATGCAACAACCACTCACAAAACCGCACTCTTGCTGGAAAATCGTCAGGTTGAAGGGCTTGTACACGTTGGACGTGAAACGGATACAGACCCTCTTCACGCAGCGTTTGCCACACTTTAGTTTTTGATACTTGCATTTCTCTAGCCACGTCTCTAGTGCTTGTTAAGCGATTCTCGTCTACGCGATTACCTCTACATGCGTGACCGTAACCGTCGGTTGAAGGTTGCATACTGACCTTACACACTGACCCCGACAGAGTTCTGCCGTCGGGTTGAGACCTTGTACCAATCGGTGATGTCAAGGGTCGCGGCTACAGGACGGGATTCAGATATTTTTGATGTTGCGGAGCCCTTTATCTCGGTTCCCTTAAGACATTGGTGTATATGGTACTGAGAAAAATTGCATATGTTTTCAAGATCTACACGTCGCGTAAAGGAAAACCCCAACTTTGCGGACACCCTGTATATTGTCTATATCACGCATCGCTGTAGCTTGTTTGTTATATCGGTTACCAGTAGATGGGTCGTCAAACGTAGTCTAGTTGACAGGCTTCGCCTCCTTACCACCACAACCACCACCACCACCACCACCACCACTACTACTACTACTTGATGTAGGTCGCCTTGGCAGGTAGGGATGCCTAGTGCCTTGGAATTAGAAGGCATACCGTAGACAGGGCCCAGAATCATCTTGACTTTCGCGTAAGTTGTTGCTCTTGGAAATACCTTGTGGCTAAGCTTAAGACCATTAGCTCTGATAAAACATTTTCACTCATCATTCCCACCACAGATGATTGGCTAGAAGGCGAGATTGTATTCCTGACCTACAGATGGTTTACTTTACAGACGAGTCTCTATTGAGACTCGATCAAGTGAAGGACATATATCTGGAGGGCAACGAATTGAAATGATTTGCAAGATGGCTTTGCAGGCCAAAACATATGCTTTGAAGGTGGTATTATCTCCAAAGTCAAGGTCAGTTTTGGTACATAAGCTCTGGAAGATGTGACCATTTTGTAGGCGCGTGCATCAGGTAACGAAAAAAAATAGATCAGGCAGGCCTAGAGGCCAAGAGCTCTTGTATTTGGCTCCAAGTGAGTCTGAGAACTAATTAATACGTGGGGGCATGGCATACGTTTTGTCCTATGACAAGTAACTACAATGCTGCTGGGTTGTGGTTACAATTTTATGAAGTATACCGTTTAGTTAGCCCAAATGTGAGGAATCACCATTTGGCAAGCAAATTAATATTTCTGTCGCTATGGAGTCCTTCCCGACTGTTGCCTACTTTCCATAATTTTTGCGGTGGTCTATAAACCGAAACATAGGAGGGCCAAACTGAAAAAGTATTTGGGGTAAGCTCTCCTTGAGGACCATTGAGAGACGGTATTCAAATTCCAAACGGAACTTACGAAGGCCGTTTTTTAAGAAAGAGCTGTTTTGTAATGGAGCCAGGGAAACTTTATTTTTTGTATCACAAATTAAGATATGTGATCTTTTTAATTTTTCGCTAGAAAGCAGACGCCGCTGCCGATTTTGGATACGTGAAAAGCAATGGCGGCGTAGTGAGCGACCGGCCAAGAGTGTCTGAGAATGAACTGATGTCACGTCACAGAATATGTGGGCACAGTCCAAAACTAGCCTAGAAGGGGCGAGAGAAATTATAATAAAAAACAGGCGAATAGCATATATAAAGCATAAGCATTAAATTAAGTATAGGGCGAATTATATACTATCATCTGAACCTTTGTAGTCGTTTGGGGAACCCACATTCACCTAGCACAAAATTATTCTTTTGAAGTTCCAACCAAAAGACTTGGCCGGGTCTGGAATTTCGAAAATAAAAATCAGCCGATTTGGGTGGGAGATGTTGTGTATTTAGAAGAGGAGTGCGGATTCGATGATTTGTTCTTGCTTATGGTGGAGTATAGTCAATATTAAATGAAATCTTGAACAACAAATACACTGCCACGCAAAACTAAGGCGATAAACAAAATTTTTAGAAAAGTTGAGCCTTAAAATTCTCATACGATGACACATTATTCAGTAATCCAATGTTTCCACAGGGTGTTCAGAAATTTAGGGTAAAATGCACCTTTTAGTTGCACCCTGTATAACAACAAACATTTTCAATTTTTTGCCAGATTGGCAGTCGATAATGGTGACAATAAAATTGCCCACAACTTGACGAAAAAATTAACGAAATTGATGCAAAGGTTAAGACGTTATTTCAAATTTAATTTGAACAAAATTTTGTTGTTGACCTTCTGGTTGCGATTCTCACTGACCACTGCAGATTAAACGGATACCTATACATCTTGGGAATAGCAGAAGTCCCTGCCTTTTCAACAGAAATTACTTAGGATTGCTAGTGGATTTAGAGTATCAGCATAATATGATTAGAATACGTTGAAAGGCTATTGAAATAATTATACAAATATACAAGCAAAATAGAACGTACCTACCTCCAAATCATCCTCATCTTTCTTTCTCCCTCCTTGCTGATATTCTTTGAGTAGATAATAGGCCGCTTTGGAATGGTCATATCGACGCATTGATTGTGCAACATCTTTGCTCTCGTATGGTTTGACATAGTTCACGCCTCCCGGATGGTTGTTCAGGAATTGATATATATTGTACGTGTTTGATTCATAGTCGATTTTGAACTTCGTGTCTTCTCCATCATAGATGCAGGTGTCATTCTGGCTCATTCTATTCTCTGGAGACAAAGACATCATGAATTAAGTGTTGGAAATTCGTGCAAAGCGGAGCTTGTTTGTCCTAGGTGCCCAAGAAAACATGCATTAATTGCATGAACCATATGATCATGCTAACAAAAAGAACTTGTCCACTGATCATTCTTCCAGTTTTAATGGTTATCTTGTGTATCGACGTCGCATTGAAATTAAGCCAGAAAAAAATCACTTATGAATGGTATAAATAATAATCTAAAATTATGGTACCCTAACGTTCGTTCTTCAACAGCAGGTTTTAATGAATTTGTTTATCTTATCAATGACCAATTTGATGCAGTCGGAGTAACTGAGACCTGGTTGAACTACGATATTCCTGATCGTGTCGTATCGCTCTATGGCTATATTTTTACTCCCGATGCCAAAACTGGTGAAGAAGTATTGTAATCGCAAACATTTCGAAATTGAGAATTATGCTTTTTGGTGTTACATGACATGTACATCACGAAGAACCATGTCAATCATTTTCGTAATACCGCTTGGAATTTGATAAAACTTTCGCGAAGGGTTACTACTATGCCAAGAATGAAAAAGCTTTGAAGTTATTGAACATCGGACAGTGCTAGTAGCAAAAAGATCAAAAACTTCGTTTTTTGGGTACTGATCATTTTCGGAAATTTTGTGTACTGTTTGAAACTTGGTGGTTGGGGGTTGGGGGTTGTAGGGGGCAGAGGGTGGTAAATGTAACGTCTTTAGTGTTAGTTAAATACGTTCTATCATTGAGAAGCGTCTGATTCCGATAACAACCCGAAAATTGAATGATAAAAGTCCGATGTATAATCTGCTCATAATTCCAAATAACTTGGCAATCATTGGCGTTGCGTGCACAGCGCGATGTTGCAGCGTCGTGAAGGCTACTGCCGACTATGCAAAGTGTAACAATCTCCACCTGGTTTGCGGTGGTGTCATCGCTGACATAACTATAGGAGCAATATTTATATAGGTATTTTAGCAATATTTTGATATTAGAAGTACATACCACTTTAGTGTTCTGTGATGCTTTTGTGAACGGTGACAACTGTTTTTATTACACATATATTTTTCAGAATTTTATGATCCTTAAATGTACCGCCCATTCCATCTAATCTTTAGTTGGTTCAAGTATTATCGCAAGTTTAATCCTTCCATCGGTAGTCCTAGATTTTGAAAATTGATTTCTTCCTGATCATTTTCAGACATTGTTTGGAGGGGATGAAAATTGTACGTTGGAAGATGTATGCGTTAAATGGTTGTAAATTGATGCATATTACTATTTGGTGTCAGTGCGAGGCCTTTTATTATTAAGAAGCTGCTGATCTTAGTGAGCACCTGTTCCACATAAGCAACGCATATTTTCCCTACATCTACCATGAAAACAAATATGATAGATTTGCATTATACAATGATATGCGAATATTTAAGGGTGTGAATCTACATGAAAAATTAATGTTAGTTTGCTTTATAAACTATGGTCCAAAAATGTTTCCTTATAAAAACTCGGTGTTGAAGCTTTAGGAAAAAAATGGAAATTAAATAATACTTTCAGAACCGCTTCAGATATTTCACTGATATTTAGTACGTAGTGAGAGTTGATCAAGTTGCATATTTTTCAATGCAAAAATAATTTTTAGCTTTAACAGTGGCGTGCGTACGGGTGTTGACATCGATAGTTTTAAAGAAAAAAATGGTAAGCCAATGGTTTTTTGCTAAATAAAAATTATTTTTGAATTCCCCGTTCAATTTAAAACAAATAATTTCTCTTGAATTGTTTTCCTTTGATGCGCCATTTTTGAGTAAATAAAATAAAAACCGTACCTATTGTCTAACTTGCAAATTTATTAATTTAATTCGAAAAATTAAACACACTAGGGGTAATGAACAACAACAACTGACAACATAAACATAACAACATAACATTAAAACCAACGAAATAATGACCTTGGTGGCCATTTTTGGGGCACACCGCGGCCAATCCAGCGATTTAGATAAACAGTTTGAAAATAATTACGAATCGCTACACTGAAATGCGCTGGTGCACCATCATGCATGTACCACATATTGTTTCTTATTACTAACGGAACATCATCAAGCAGCAAAAGCTTGTTGAAGAAAATTGAGGTAAGTCTGTCCGCCAAGTCGTCCCGGCAAGAAGAATGGGCCAATAAAGTGGTTGCCAATAATTCCTGCCCATACGTTTACCGAAAATTGGTGTTGGAAATGGATTTCGGTAACGGCATAGGGATTTTCTTCTGCCCACAAATGATTATTGTGGAAATGCTGAATGGCATTTCGAGAAAAATTAGATTCGTTCGTGAACAGAATCATTGATTCAAATTGTGGATTTTGTGTAAGTTTTTGAAGATACCACTGACAAAAGGTCAGACGCCTTGGGAAATCAATGAGAAGTAATGCCTGTACCCTTAAAATATGGTAAGGACATAACAAAAAATCCACTAAAAATCTCCAAGTGCCTAGCGATCTTCCTCGTACTCGTTTCAGGATGTTCTTCGATTTCGTGCAGCACTGCTTCCTCAATTTCAGGTGTTCTCACACTTAGAGGTCTACCTTCAGACGTTCCTTTTCGAACAGAAGCAATGTCAACAAGACGACGATGAATATTAGAGAAGGTTCGACTACCTGGCAAGCACGATTAGGATATGTCTGGTGATAAATCCGTCTGACTTGCTCACCATTACCGTCGGCAAGGCCCATATACGTAATATATTTCCGCCATTTCTGCATTTGAATAATTCATCATTATTAACAAGATTGTAAAAACTAAATAATGAAAATGATGTCACAGCGAACAGATTTGAATAACAGAGACTTGTCAGATGTCAAAAGCCAGTGACATATTCCAGAGCAACTAGATATTTATTGCTAAATTGCATTCTTCAATTATTACAATTAATTTTCTCGGACCATAGAACGGTTTTGATTGTTTTTAATTCAAGAGAGATAATTTGTTTTACATTGAACGGGGAATTCAAAACTAATTTTTTATTTGACAAAAAACTATCGGCGTACCATTTTTTTAAAAAAATATCGAAGTCAATACCGGTACGCATGCCCCTGTTAAAGGTAAAAATTATTTTTGCATTGAAAAATATGCAACCTTATTAAATTTCACTACGTACTAAATATCAGTGAAATATCTGAGGCGGTTCTGAAAATATTAATTAATTTCCAGTTTCCTCCTAAAACTTCAACACCCCGAGTTTTTGACGGAAAAATTTTTGGACCATAGTTTATGAATCAAACTGTCATTAATTTTTCATGTAGATTCACACCCTTAAATATCCGCATATCATTGAGAAACACACTGATATGCAGACGTCGAAGATTCATCGTACCTGAGTAAACACACAGTCATGATTCTATTTCGCCTTTCGAAACGATTTGAATCATCCCTTTCTTTTGAAACCTCCAACACAGGGGCATGACGTATAGAGTCAATCAACTTGATGTCATTTTATAGGAGAGAATGTTTAGGCAGCGGAGGTGGTCTCGGTTTGTATATAAAAGGGAATATTACCTGCCAAGTACTAAACAACTAATCATAGATTTTGCTGTTAACACATCACTTGGAATTTTATGCTGTAAACTAGTGTTAAGCAACTGCAACTTTTTTGATGTCATATATCGTTCGACTCATTGTTCAATTAATCAATTCATTCCGACTATTGATAATTTACTTTCATCTTTTATTCAGTGGACGTTGCATGAGTGGATATTACAAATAGATACATAAACTTCATCACATAATGTCGGGTCCACAATAAACCAACCAAACGGCAACTCAATGTTTTTCAACAATTAAGCAATAAATCGGCAACATTTCGTCAAGAATTCGTGTTTTGTTTATGTTTCTGGCAACTTTTGGCGTTCCCGTCGCGAGTCGGTAATGATCAAATGGTCTCTGTTTTGTTTTCATTTCAGGAAACATTATCGGTGTACTTTGTTGCGAACCAAATATAAAACAGAAACTAGTATTAAATTCGAAGGCGCTGGGTAGGGTTTTTAAAAAAGTGGAGTGTCGACAACACGAATAAATTAATCGAACTATTTTGAGGTTATGTCACAAACATCTATTTGCATCAAATTGTGCTTGCTTTGGAGTTATATCATGTTTTATCAGCCTGAAATTTCCTACAATTTAAAAGGAAAACATATCTTAACAGTAGGAGAGTGATGACGCTGACACGGGACGAGTGTCATCTAGAAATGTTTGAAGGAGAGAAAAGAGTATGACAATCAAGGATTCCATAAACGCACCCTACAATTGTAGGGACGACTGACGATACCGGCCTTAGCGTTATGGCCAAACCTTCAACAACGTTAATGGCATTTCTGAAATTGGTATTTTTTTATAAATTTCAGGACCGATCAGCTATATTAATTCTTCAAGGTTTTCACTGGAGATTCTTAAAAAGTTATCGAAACCAGAACGCATTTCTCATTCCAATCCAATATCTTTACGGAATTCGGACAATATTTTTCAATACCACGATCTTTTTTTCACGTAAGGATGGTTTCACCCAAAAGAGTTTTTTATTTTCGCTGTCACAACTCTAGAGAAATCTTTGCGCTTCTGCCTTTCAGCATAAAAACGCCACATATTTTCAATCTGAAAATCTTTGGTGTGAACTGCACGAAACAAAACAATTGAAAACTTTTTTGTCTCTTGGAAATGTGGACATAAGTTTTCATTTTGTTTTGTTTAAAAAAAGTTGCTCATTTGTTACGTTTCTGTTTTGTTCGTTGTTTTTGTTTTGTTGCTTTGATGTGGACCCCGCATAAGGATTAAAAATTCATAGTAGTGTCAAATCATGCCACTGTAGCATACATGAGTTTTTGATAAAAAGAAAATATTTAGCTCAATAATATCGCGGGCGAATTGAGTGATATAGACTTACTCAAAGTTTGAAAAGGTTTACACGTAAAGGACAATAACTCGCAGAGTGCACGACGTATTCATGGACGAGTGCCAGATTACCGAACAAATGTTGTTGTGAGAGTCGATTGAGACCGTCTGTGAAGGAAGCATCATCATTAGTCAGATGAACTGGACATGACCAAATAAGGAGCATACTCTCAGTAGTGTGCAATCATGTCTTTGGTGATATCAACTCTTCCACGCATAACCGAATTATACATGTGTGCTTGGATAGTTGTATCTTGTTGGTTTGCTGAGTCTTAAAAACATTTTATTGCAAAATTTATTGAGCTTTCATCATAAGGGGTTGCTTATTTCATCTGACACTCAGAATGCTTGCATGCAAAGTATTGTCAGCCATTTAGCTGTGGATCGGATGTATATCACGATTTTTTCTTCTTTTGGCGGAAATCAGACTTTATTGCACATCTAGGTATTTATCTATACAGTGTGTTCCAGATTCGCTTCTCTATACAGAGATCGCGGCTCCTGTTATACCTACATTAAAGGTTAAATGGGGACAGCTTTAGAGGTAAATTGATGCATTCGATAGCCGGCTTGAGATTTAAGATCGGTCAATTGGTTTAGGAAATATCGGCGAAAAACCGAAAATGTCGAATTTCGTTTTTTGACAGTAAATCCGAAACAGTTCATTTGACAGCTGTCAAAATGTGACATTATGCGGACATTTTTTTAGGGTGAATAAGATAGCGTGTATAACATGTCTCAATGTCTTTTGTTTTCCCGTAACCTGCCTCAACTTTCATTTTTCTTATGGCGGCCATATTTCATTTTTAGATTTTTGAAAAGAGCGCAAAATTTCCAGCCTAGTGATGTCTCACAGGTACATAAAAGATCATCGAGATATCATCACACGTAATGATATGTATTAATTTTTTTCTTAAGGAGACCATAACAATTTTATTATATATATTTATGATTTTAATGAGAGAAAACGTACCTACTACTTATTAAGACACAATTGAATTTGAATTGAATTATTTAACGTCAAAGTCAGAGCCTCCTTAGATGAAAAAGGTGCGCTACTTATTAATTTTATTTTCTGCCCAATTGGGCAGCCATAATTATGGGCTCCTCAGAAAATAACTAATACGTAACATTCTCCAATCTTTATGAACTTGTGAGACATCACTAGACTGCAAATTTTTCGCGCTTTGTCGCTGGAAAACATAAGACGATATTATCATGCTATATTATTTTTCTTAAAAAAAAAAATCCGAATAATTGCACATTTTGACAGCTGTCAAATTATCCGTTTTGGATTTACTGGAAACAAACAAATTCCGTCATTTTCGTTTTTTTGCTGATATTTTCAAAACCGATTGAGTGATCCTAAACCTGAAGCCGGCTATCGAAAGCTCTGAGTTTCCTTTAAAACTTTCCTCATTTTACCTTTGCTGTAGGTATAACAGGAGCTGGGATCCCTGTATAGAAAAGCGAATTTGGGACACACTGTAGACATCCCAGCCTGCCTCTGCCTCTATATCAGACGAGAGTTGTTGACACGACAGATACTTGTGAATGTGCGAACCTTAGAATGAGGTCCTATTGTGGGAAGAGTGCAATCAATATTGGAGTATTTCAATCCCGGAAGAGGCCTATTTACCTGCATTTTATGGCTTGTACGGATTTGAGTGCAGAAAGCATCTGGATTGGAGCATTGCTGTAAAGTTGTATATCTTCGGATGGTAACTGGCTTTAAAGCTATATATGAAACGTCAGAACTGGTATTTCTTATGTATACTAAAATTATGTAGAATTTCATAATCAAATTGATTAGACTGAAGTTACAAAGAGATCGTTAGGTTTCTCGTCTACTTCCGTAAGGTAAGTATTTGGAGCTTTTAAAAAGACCATACCCACTTGTCTACACTCCGGTCATCTGTCTTTAGGACTATTAGACCTATACCGCTCTGATGAGTTGCTAGTGAGTACCAAACAGCGCTGTCTGAGGTTGATCGTGGTTACAGAAAGGGGAAGCAAAATGTCTATTTCAACGAGCTTATACCTCTCAGGTTTATTGAATAGGTTTCTTATACAGGTATAAAAAATGCAGTACAGCTCATTTGTTATTGATTGTCATCCAAATAATGTGCAAATTTAAAATTGTTGCTATTACTTTTTCGAAGAAAATGGTCTAATTTTGCAGGTCTTTTCGTGCCCAACAACTCTGCTGTGTAATGCTTCATAATTTATTGAATATCGGTGAAAAAACGCTTTTGACATTTAATAAAACAGCTATCTAGTAGAATGTTTGTACATCTATTGGACTGGCCTTTCCACTCACCCTCAGGGATACAGTTACGTTATAAAATCTGTTCATGCAATTTTCTCTACTATAGACTCCATTTCTGGCTAATTGACCTATCAAGGTGAATGTTAGTAGTACATTACATACCCAGCTTGAGACATGGGCCATTGTTGATCGAACACTTTTATATAACGTGCGAGATCAATAATGTCATTCTCACGCTAATTATGTCTACAATTATTCTCACTACCAGCACTTTATAACACAGTTTTCGATTTTATTTGCCTACCGACAGAGTGACAAGCTCAAACAATCAGATTTAGATGTTTTTTTTAAGGGGATCAATGTGATAACATTGGTTGACCGTCTTTTCCTTCTTCAAGCTTCAAACGTGGTTTTGAAATATTATACCGGTTGTGGACAAATTCGAGAACTTCTACATCACTAAGGGCTAGGAAGAACTTTGCTCCACATGATCATCTTACTCTGTACAAGGACTAGATAAGACATAGCCCTGACTAAATTATCCATGCTTGATGCTTTCAGAGGAGGGCTGTCCGATTGATCCATGACTCTTCTCTAGCGTACAGTCTCGGAACCCTTTTGCACCAACGAGCCGTCAGCGATCTAACTCTTTTCTGTTGCTACGCCAATGGGCTTTGCTCCTGAGAACTGTTCTCAACGATGCCGCGGCGCGATGGGCTTGTCAAACAGACCCGCCTGATTTCGGCCTCCGATCCTAACCGTGTTGAACATCCTACATTCAGAACTGGCCGATACGACCGCTCCTCTGTCCCTGTGGTACCGAGACAAAATCGGATTAGCAAAGTTTCCTTAAGCTCCTCATGGCAGCTGCAGTACCCTGGTATTTATGCTTCTGCCTAAGCCGCTGCTTCGATATAAAACAAATAACGAGTTATAGTTGTCATTATCCATTTCTCACTCGTACTCAGATATTTAGAAATAAAAAATTTACTCGTCAAACTGGCATGTAAAGTTACCTGCATCTTTGTTTGAAATGACATTCATTATTCACCTAGGTATTTTTTGATGTGGTAACACCGTGTATGGGTGGTTAGGTATGCTATCAGCTTTCTGCCAAATGGTTATCAATTTTGTTTACATCTATGGTATTTTTCATGGCAGAATAGCAGCTAGTGATGTTTCGAAATTCCCATATCTATAAGTGAGACATAATTCTGAGGGATCCGTCATTGCCAGATCCGCACGGGTACCACGTATCTTGAAAAGTGACATTATGCCGATTTTTTTTGACATTATGTAGGTTTTTCTACAAGATATTAAGTTAGCACATAGTTTTACGTGTTACCTAAACGTCTGAGGCTTGTTATCAATCTTTGGCTCTGATGTGATGTAAAATCTGCTTCTGAGTTGGCATTACTGGAGGTTTAAGCTGTAAGTTGTATATGTTAATCATAATTACATTGGGTTCTTGTCTCAAATACACTTAACAGAGATTCAAAGCTAGAAATTAGTTGCGCATCCACTTTCATTCTGGAAATTACATATACAAATTTGCTGAATTTCAAAAATTAGAGAGATAAGAAATAATTATATTCACTGTACACTGTCGAATTACAAGCCATATACATGCTAAAAGTAACTACACACAACGCGGGCGCGGTGATGATTTCCTCTAATTCTGCTCAGTTTTTCGTAATTAATAATTTTGAACATAACCTCTCTTCAGAAAGCACAACATAAAAATAACCCGTCGGGGACCGCCAATAGATATACTTTATTAGCAGCATATTCAGTAATGATTTTCTCACACAGCAAATATCACTGATTTTATACACATGCAGACCAATAATACACATAATCATCCAGATGCGATCTTGCTAATCAACCAACTTTCTACTCAGATATAAAAACTACAGACAAGAACCATTTGGTCTCACAAAACATAGGCAACCAATAATGCGTTTAGTTTAGTTGAATGATTCCTCCTTAGATGGACGATCACAACGATCCTAGTGAGCAAACGTGGAATGGCTGTTTGCGCATTAAAAACTACCTAGTTTGCAAGATGACATCTTGCAGGTATTTTTTGACGTTTTATAGGTTTTTTACATGATACCCATGCCGGAGAGGCTAAATATTTGTTTTGTAGTTGCGAACAACTTTTTTTCATTTAGTAAAGTTCCTTTGCATAAAAAAAAACGCTACAAGCAAAATGGCTAGACCCGATCCATTATTGCCAAAGTTATAGACTAATACAAAAATGTCAGTTGCTGATTAGCTGTTCACATCAGTAGACTTCAAAACGAAATGTATACTCGTGAAAATATTCGATATGTTTCGCGAAGTTTATAGAATACTCGAAAATGATTTTCACATGTTAGTAGGATATACAAAGGAGTCTGGAGTGGTAAATTTATATAAGTTAAGGGTAAGTAAGCTTTGTGAGTTTTTGAGCGAATAAAACGTGAACAATCGAGAAATATTCCATTTCAACTACAAGAAGAGACCATTCATGATAATACCTTTATTTAACTAGGAATATAAATGCTTTTTTTCATTAGGGCATTAAGGCACAATACTTTTCAATAAAGCGTCGCCAAAATGTGCCCCGTCATGTGCCACCATATATGTCAGAAATTTAAATGATCTGCAACCGGTTGCGGTACATGCGCAGAGGACAACAATGTACCTTGCAAGTGCGGCGCGCAACATGCAGATATTGTGTAATATGCGACTGACACACGTGCCTCTAATTTGTCGAAGTGGGAACATGCCTTTAGCTGACATTGTACAATGGTCCTTCTGTCCTTTCTTTTGTGGCGGTATATATTTAGATGACTCATTTGAAAATAATTACGTATCTAATGTGTGCTTTTATCGTTTTCTCTGGGAAAGGTCAGTATCATTTATTACGCATTGTTTTATTTTCTCGCAATGTATATGTATATATATAGATGAGTTGCATTTGTGTACAATGATGGTCATTTCTGTTAAACTGTTTGATCGAACGCTATTGAGGTTAATTGCTGGTTAAAATCGTGGTGTCGACTGTTCGTGCATTTTGCCACCTACTTCTAGGAATGCATCTACAGTTTTATTAAAAACCCACGTAAACAAATTTAATGCATTTTAGTCCAGTTCAGGTAGGGTCACACGTGTCGAGTATGCTATTATTGGAAAATATCACTCCTTTCAAAACAAATAACAACAAAACGTCATATTACAAAGTATAACAGTTTATCATTGCTATATATTACATACATACATTTATTTGGTGCTGGCCTGAGAAGGAGTGTATAGCGGGTATTTCAAATTCGACTCTCACCATTGGAATCTCAGAGACGGTAAGAGATACGATGTCGGTTAAATCTGAGCAGTTTCCCATTTAGGTAATTATGAAAATGACATTTATAAGCTTTACGCAGGTGAATAGGGCTTTTAATTCTGATTCTAAAAATGTATATTGTCATACATTCACATTGTCAAACCAAAGTTAGTAAATTAATTAATTTAATAAAATAATATTGCTATAGTTGGCTCTGAAAATGATAGTTTATTACTGCGTTATTTGACTCAATCACTATTTAATAACTTGACCATTTATCGACTATAAGCAGCGTTATTTAAGCGCGATGAGGCTCTCTACAAGATGCTTCCTGAAAAGAGAAGCGATAAGCGAAGTGTCACCTGGAAGAGAGACAAGTTAAATGTATTGTCAAAAAGTAGTATTTGTACTGTTGACGGTTACCTTTGAGACCGAAACGTTTAAAATAAAGAATACATTATGTTTGATTGGCCAGACAAAAATGGGGGATTATCGTCATGAAAACCATGGAAGTTTCAGATGTTACATTTAATAAATATTGCCAAAGGATGAAATCATCACAATTTCACAACAGAACATCGAAGAACATAATTCAATATAATCCAATAATGTGTAGCAGGGAAGACAGGCGATCACAAACTTAAGAATCTGGAAATTGAATATAGCATTGTGTTTGTCAAAGAGATTTTTCTATAGATGAGGTAGAGTTATGGAATAACCACTCAATCTTGTATTCGTCTTTTATTTATATAAAATTTTCTCCAAATTAAAGGATACACTTTTATGAAAAACTAAAACACGTTATTTACTTGTTTAGTTCTTTTTAAAGTAGTTATAATTCTTACATCCATGGTTTTCACCCCATATTTGCAGACACTTCACTTCGCACCTAACACAGGTCTTTTTTCACACTGACTGAAAAGGAGTCTTCTGTGGTACTCCCTCGTTTTCGGGAATATGAGTCCTGATGTGTTGGCTCGAACTTCACCAGAATCAATATATTAGGGATCATCCATCAAACTTCCTAGATGTTTTTGCAGTAAGGTAACTTGATGATGTCTTGACTGGTCGTAATTTTCAACTCAATACTAACATCAACTACTATATGTAACAAAATATAGTTGCGAGGTTAATTTTGACGTTTTGGTCTCAACCACATACAAGGTTGTTTGAATTACGACGTGATAATGACTTGAGGAGATAAAAGTAACACTGTCAGTATTTTGGTATGGAACTATACCAATATTTTCGATTTGTCTTCCGTTTTTTGTTGCCATACTGACTGGAGTATATTGAGTAATATTTCCACCAGCGATGACCGACTGTCATGTAGGTCGATGCAGATGTAATTGGTTCTTAATAATTTATGCGAGGGAACACATTTTTCATGCTTTCCAGTATTCTCATTTGTTTTGTTGATTGGATCAAAACAACTACATAGAGTGAGGTTATTTTTTGTCATTTTTCAGTGCAATACAGTTCATGCTCCAATTTCTTTTGTTATTTCCACTGATTATATAGGTTACTTTCAACAATGCATTTCTGACAATCCCGAACTACCAGTTACAGTGGAATCAACGAATTCAGACTAGGTAAAAGGAGCAAGTCTGTGATTTGTTTGTTTCCAAAATCTCATTGTCTGTAGTCAGGGTGAAAGTTTATACTACTTACAAGTCGATCTAACTTAGGCCGCTCGTTTGATAGTTGTTGACATTTCATACGAAATTCATATTTTTCCGCGTATTCCTACATATAAGATTGCGTGGGTTCCATACAGTTCTAGCGTTCCAGACAATTGTCAAAAATGGTGAATGTGGAAGAATCGATCGATAAGTGTTGATATATTATAGTCATCCGCATTGCGAAAGGGCACGCTCCTAAACGTTGGGCGTCTACCTGGACAGTTGTGAAGTAATTTTGATTTATTTCCACATATTGTTTCTTTGAGTGCTTAGTCCGAATCTAAGGTTTCTTAAAAAAATTGTATACCTGCAGGAGAAATATACAGGGTGTCCCAGAAGTCGACGTCAAGCCGAAACCGGGTGATAGGCAAAGTCATAACAGCTATCAGAAAAATATTTAAAAAAATTTTATGTGTTTTGAAAATTATAGGTCTTTGAAAAAGATATAGAAATTCCACACCCTACGGCAGTCTGTCAACTCCTGTTACTACAAATATTAACTTTTTTTGGATTTTATTTTTACAATCTAATGATGAATAATGCATCTTCAAACTGGTGTCTCAACCTTACTGCCAACTTTTCTCGTTCAGAAAAAATTGCCACTTATTTCCCAACCAAGTATTCCAAAGTAAAAGTTTGCTCAACTTTAACTGGCTGTACTGGGAAAAAATGTACTACGAGAGTTTGGCAAGTAACCTTAAAAGTTGGCGCATTTAATAACGATTCCAAAATGGTGTAACACTTAGAAAATTACTCATTAACTTATGCACAATTTTTATTTGAAGAAAAACTGATGAAAATTTT